TAGAGACAGAGAAAGAGGAGGAAAGTGAGAAAGCAAGCCACCAGGTCCGGGACTTGAATCGTGGTTGGCTGGGTGGGCCAACCATTATGCCACTTGCTAGCCCCCATTGATAATTTTTTAAAGAATTATTTTATTTAACTATTTATTTATTTACTTATTTATTTAATTTAATTTGACGAGAGAGGGACAGAGTGAGAGATAGAGAAAGAAAGAGAGAGAAAGTGAGAAACCAAGCTGCCAGGTCTGGTACTCGAACTGCAGTCAGCCATGTGGTAGTCCAGGACCCTTAACCACTGCACCACCTGCCACCTTCCCCCCATTAATAGTGTTAATGAGCAGAAACTTCTAGAGTTCTGAAGACTGAAATATAGTTAAGGCACATATAGGAACTATTGGGTGGTTGGGAAAATCATGACACATTTTTGCATAGAAAAACGTAGGGGGACCAGCAGTTAGAGTAATGGCTTTGTCGTTGGACTCCCACATAGTCGACTGTGGTTCACGTCCCGGACCCGGTGTCTTAAAACTCACGCTGGGTGCGTGTGCATGCGTGCCCAAGATCCTGAGAGGGGAACAAAGGAGAGGGGATTGCGGGCGTGGCCATCCCCCCTGGGGGATGATTTCTCGCTCTCTGTCTCTCTCTGTCTGTCTGGCAAGTGCATGCGCCCTATAACAAAAACCTCTCCAGAAAAGAAAAGTAAAGAAAAACGTAGGAAAGTATGTCATGACTTTGCCAATACTTTGGAAGAATGCACTTTGATTAAGTCTACCAGCCCCAGGAATGCGAATTGTGGTTAGGGAGAGGCAGACCCACCCTGAGGTGAACCAATGCCAACACCTACAGTCTATCAAATTGTGTAAGAAAATATAGAGAATAATAGGCTATTTCTCAGGGAAATGTCTCTAGGTAAAACTTTAATAAACCCAGTTTGATTTTTTTTAAAACACATGCGACAGTCATGAGAACAAAGTGTAATGAATAACTAAGAATGTATTCAGGAACCTCTCCATTGTTCCCTTCAACAACATGGAAACAAGGGAGATGCTTCACTGCTCAGACCAATTGCCCATTTCTTCTGACTCAGTCCTGGGCACCAAGGAAACCCAGGAACACTGTGGGCTTTCTCACTGATGTTAACCCCAACGGGGCATGTGAAAGTCCCTCATTTCCTGTTTTCAAGCATACTCTTGACAGAATACAGTCCAAATGGCATTCCAAGAGTTTAAAGTAAGACCTATAACTGCCTGCAATTTACCATACCTCCCCTTCTTTTGGTTCAGAAAGCACCAAGAACAGTTGATACACAGGAACGCTCTGTTTGGAAGCAAAAACATCATAGTTGTTAATCAGGGAAAAGGATGAATATATGTGAAAATTTGGAAATGAGAGAGAGGAACTGAGAGAAATCAAGTAGAAAATGGGAGAAAGTCCAAACAGCTGGATGTAGAGATAAGGTGGAGAAGGAGGGAATGAAGTTGGGATGCAGGCAAGGGAGGACCCTGAAGGTGCATGAAGCCTGAAAAGGGGGTTGGACCCTTTCCAAAGAATAACAGGATGTCATAGTGGTTGGGAAACTGAATTCCCACATAGTCGACGGTGGTTTGAGTCCTGGACCCAGCAGCTTGAAAAATCAAACAAATAAATAAAAAGTTAAAAAAAAAATAATAACAGGGAGACATGAAAAAGTTCAAAGCAGTAGAGGAGCACATCAGAATTGCATGATGGACAAATCTCTGGCTGAACTACAGCTAGAGGGCTGGAGAGTCAAGAGCAATTAAGGAAGCCAAAGAGCTAATGAAACCAGCTCTTTCCCACTATGCAAGATGGCAGGTGAAAAGCTGCAAAGCAGGATACTAAGGAGAAGAAACCTGAAGCCAAGAAGGCTGATGCCAGTGGCAGGGTTAAAAAGGGTGACCCCCCCAAGGCTAAAAAGCCCAAGAAGGGGGAAGCCCCATTGCAGCCAAAACCCCATCTTAGTCCAGGGCATCAGCAGATACTCCCGGTCTGCCATGTATTCCAGGAAGGCCACGTACAAGAGGAAATACTCTGCCACTAAATCCAGGATAGAAAAGAAAAAGAAGGAGAAGGTTCTTGGGGCTGTCACAAAACCAGTTGGTGGAGACAAGAATAGTGGTACCTGGGTGGTTAAACTATGCAAAATGCCTAGGTATTATCCTACTGAAGATGTGCCTTGAAAGCTGTTGAGCCACGGCAAAAAACCCTTCAGTCAGCATGTGAGAAAGCTGCGAGCTAGCATCGCTCCTGGGACCATTCTGATCATCCTCACTGGACACCACACAGGCAAGAGAGTGGTTTTCCTGAAGCAGCTGAGCAGTGGCTTGCTACTTGTAACTGGACTGTTGGTTCTCAATCGAGTTCCACTGCATAAACACACCAGAAATTTGTCATTGCCACCTCCACAAAAATTGATATTAGCCAAGTAAAAATCCCAAAGCACCTTACCGATGCTTACTTCAAGAAAAAGAAACTGCGGAAGCCCAGACACCAGGAAGGTGAGATCTTCAACACAGAGAAGGAGAAATAC